TCTGGAGTTGAAAGTCCATCACAGCAACAGAGCTTTGGCCTCTCTGCTCAAGTCCTCCAGGCAGAGTCAGTGGTTCTGCTGACAGAGGCATCCGTGCCAGGGCCTACTGTACAACACTGTGTCATGGACAAGGACAGGCCTGAGCCACAACCAATGGCAGGCAGGGGCAGCTGTGCGGGGAATCGCCACCTCCATCGGCAGGACGAGCTCTTCCATACGTTTCTGGCTCTCGTCGGATCTCCATCTGTGGCCAGTCGATTGTCCCTGGAGCACCTGTAAGTCCTGTTTCCAGGGCCACTGTGTCAGCTATCGGTGCTGAGAGAGGAACGGCAGCTCATGCCCACGTGTACAGATGCCCGCTGTGACAGCCAGGGCTCCATTTCACTTTGTACTTCCGTGAGTCTGTGAAGTGTGGGCAGGCACAGGACAGATAACCACGGGCTTTGCTGCTCTCAGCAGCCGTGTGGAGCTGGGGTGAGGTGACTAGAGGCCCAAGTCTACCGCGGAGTGAAGCTCCGGGTCTCCCAGGACACAGAGGCCAAGGTGTAGCTTCCGGGTGACTGTTGCTGGAGACTGCGTTGAGTGGCTTGAAGTTCCCTGTGTGACACACACTGGTCCTGACACTACGTGAAGCCACCTGCACAGGCTTTCCACGGAGCATCCTGGCCTCCAGGGGACATTTGGCAACGTCTGGCAACAGTTTTATTTTCATATTGGAGGTGGGGTGTTCAGTTGGTGGGTAGGGGAGGTCGTAGATACATACAGCCAAACCTCCTAGAGTGCACAGGGTGGCCCCCAAACAGGCTGATCTTCCTCCAGAGGTCAGGAGAACTATATTGGTTGCTTTTGCACTGCGAACAAAGTCTGCCAGATTCAGCTTAAGGAAGGATCTATTTTGGCTCCGTTGCCTGGTCCTGTGGGCTGGTCCTGGACCTCATGGCAGCAGATGTGGTTACGGCAGCCAGACCATGCGACAGAAGGACTTTTTCACATTGTGGTGAACAGCAATCAGGAAGCAGAGAACAAGGAAGTGGGCCAAGGACAAGATACACCCCTCAAGGACATGCTCCCAGATATCTACCACCTTCAGCCAGGCCCCACAACTACGTGCAGAATATTTGGTCCTCTGCTGATGACAGTTTTAGGAGGTACTGGAAACATTCTGCACGTGAGCCTGCAGGGCGATATTTCACATTCAAACCAAAGAAGCAGCCCAGGAGGAGACACTCTGATTTTTGAGCCTTGGTGAACATTCCCATTTATCACTCAGACATCTCGGGGTGCACACAGCTGGACGTGACTATCAGGCTCTACTGGCTTTGTGCAGAACCAGGCCTGCGTAAAAAACATCCACATAGCTCTCCTATGGCCTTCCTACAGCAACCATTCCATTTTGATTTTTCTGTTGCTGCAAAAATAGTTGGGGGTGGGAGGGTGAATAATGGAAAAGACGTTAAAAATGTTCTTCAGTAAAAAAAGAAGCAACTTGAAGTAACATGTGTGGCCCAAAAATTAATGAAAAGAGAAGATGAGGTCGGCATTGAAAAGCTGAGCAACCAAAAGCAAAACAAAGAGTGTCCAGATGCGAGCTGGCTGGTGGCAGGGGTGTGCAGCTGAGACTTGTGGGTCTGTGGGCCAAGGCTGCAGGGAGGCAGGCCAGCTGCCCAAACAGCCCACTCAGTGCCTAGGACCAGCATTTTATAAAATGGCATACGAGGACTGATTAGAAGACATCTAAAAGCAGCATTTGAAGTGAAGATGAGTGTTGCTTTGTAAACTTTTGTCTCCACATGTGTGGCAGTTTGAATGTATTTGGCCCCCAAAAGCTCACAGGGAGTGGCACTATTAAGAGGTGTGGTCTTGTTGGAGGAGCCTGGATGGCACACGCCTTTAATCTAGACCTTGAGGCTGGAAGGAATGCCTTTAATCTGGGCCACACCTTCTGGTAGAAGTGTGTCACTGTGGGGGCAGGCTCTGAGGTCTTTTTTCTCAAGCTTCACTCAGTATGACAGTCAACTTCCTGTTGCCTACAAGATGTAGCAGTCTCAGCACCACATCTGCCTGCCCACTGCCATGCTCTCATCATGATCATAATGGACTAAACCTCCAAAACTGTAACCCTCAATTAAACGTTTTTTCTGTATAGGAACTGCTGTGGTCATGGTGTCTCTTTACAGCAATAGAAACCTTAACTAAGACAACGTGTATGTGGTGTGCTTGCATATGTATGTGTGTGTGCATTTGCTGGGCTCTATTATTTATATACATGTGTACAAGTGTGTGTGTGTGTGTGTGTGTGTGTGTGTGTGTGTGTATGTATTGTAATGATTTCAATTAGAAATATCCTCACTGTCTTGGGCATTTGAGCACTCGGTCTCCAGTTGGTGGCACTGTTTGGGGGGCTTAGGTAGTGCAGCCTTGTGGAGGAAGTACGTCATCAGGGGCGGGCTTTGAGATTTGAAAGTCTCCACCACTTCCCGGTTGCTCTCTCTCCTCTTGGAGCTCATTGCTCAGGATGTGAGCGCTCAGCTTCCTGCTCCCACTGCCTGCTTGCTGTAGTACTGCCGCACCGCTATGGACTCTAACCCTCTTGAAGCAGATCATCGAATCTACTCTGAGAAAAAAGATAAAGAAATAATAGGATAAATGGGCAGATCACTGAATCTACACTAAAGTGAAAAGGGGGAAGATATAAAAATGACAAAAGGTAGATTATTGAATCTATTATGAAAAGGAAAAAGAGAGAATATGGATATGATAAGATAAAAAGAAAGATTATGGAATCTACTTTTACAAAGGAACTACTTGTTTTAAATAGGATAAATAATGAAATTTTTTTGAGTTTATCAAATGTTACTGGACTGGACATTGTTATATATTAATGGAGTTTTTTGTCTGAATCTGTCAAATGTTAATGGACTAGACATCATTAATGTAATCTTGACTGTGTATATTGTATATACTTATTGGATATAATTTTTCTTGTATCAGTTATAAGCTTTTTTTAATTTTAGACAAAAAAAGGGGAAATGTGGTGGTATTGCGTTCTCCAAAATATTGTGCACCCTAATAAACTTATCTGGGGTCAGAGACAGAACAGCCGCAATATTAAACACAGAAGGATAGGCAGTGGTAGCACACGCCTTTAATCCCAGCATTCCAGAGGCAGAAATCCATGTGTTCAAGGATACAGTCAAGCATGGTGACTCATGTCTTTAATCCCAGAAAGCGAGCCTTTAATCCCAGGGAGTGATGGTAGAAAGCAGAAAGATATATAAGGCGTGAGGACCAGAAACTAGCAACATTTGGCTGGTTAAGCATTTGGCTGGTTAAACTTTCAGGCTTTGGAGCAGCACAGTTCAGCTGAGATTCATTCTGGATGAGGACTCGGAGGCTTCCAGTCTGAGGAAACAGGACCAGCTGAGGAAGTGGCAAGGTGAGGTAGCTGTGACTTGTTCTGCATCTGATCTACCAGCATTCACCCCAATAACTGGCCTCAGGTTTGATTTTATTAATAAGAACTTTGAAGATTCATGCTACACCCTCTGGAACCATAAGCCAGATAAATTCTTTACTCTGTAAATTGCCTTGGTCATGACGCTTTGTCACCTCAGCAGGAAAGTGACTAAGACAGAAGTCTTCCTTTGTGGTGCCCAAAATGAAAGTCAGGCTCCTTTGTGAGCGAGTTAAGTGCTCTACCACAGAGTCACAACTACCGCCCCCTCTGGAAAATGGATCTTTTTTCCCACTGGGTCATGGTCGACACGGCTAGAAAAATGCTGCAGTTGACTAAATTATTGACGGGTTTAGAAAGAACTGTCAACAAGTTTGCCAGAGAAGGAGAATAGGAATTACTAACTGGAATAAAGGAAAGCTATAAAAGAACGGCATTTGCTTCCAGTGCTTACCTGGCTTTGCAGAGAGAGGCAAAGCCTACTCTGGCATGACACATGCATCACCACCACCACCCCTTACGGCTGCCCACAAGCAGGACTTCCTACACCAAAACTCCAAGTGTCAAAGAGAGAGAAGTGGCCACTGGCTCTCTACACTGTTGGTACTGTGGCTGCCTCTGCTATCTGGTGAAATTACCCACAAATAAATATGGGGAGCCTATTCTTTATCTTGTTAGTCATTTAGCAATCATCATTTATGTAGTTTAATGTGTCCTAGGGAAAGAATCAGAGCTGTGGTTTCCGGAAGGGGACAGATAAGGCCGTGCCATAATGAATAGAAGTGTCCAGTGGCACAGGCCTGGTTTTGGCTGAGAATACACCAACAGAAAACAGCAGTGTGGCCTCCACCAGCCTCTGCATCTCAAGAGATGGCGCTTGATGGCAGGAGCTTGGGAAAGACTGTGGCCAATGGGACTGGCCTCCTTAGAGCTCCATGGGAATCCTATCTCCTTTGCTATCCATGCCCACTACCTTGGGAAAGGTTAACACCATGAAAGATCTCAGGACTGAAAGCTAACAGGTGGGAGACACCAAATATCTGCCTAGAAAACACTCACGAATGACAAGCAGTGCAGAAATCATGATTCCTCCACAGCGTCCTGCTCCTGAAGCCCCCCCAAGCCCCCCCCATACTGGGGCCCAGCACAAGATGCTCACAGATGCCCTGGTTGCATGAGAAATGGGCTCTGCACCCTCAGCAGTTGTTATTTGTTTTGTTTTATAGATACTTATTCCAGGGCCCTTGTGCGAGGCTATGATATGACCTCTGAGGGTCAACCCCTGAATTCTGCTCACTGTGGCCTGAGTCACACACAGGCCCTTAATCAAGCTCCTGAATCCCTGCCCCTCTCCAGCTGCACACACATACAACCTTCCTTTGTTCCTCATATGGGGACCTGATTCTGATGTGCCCTGGCTTCCAGTCTCTGCCAAAGCCCACTGCCTTCCTAAGGTCAGGGGTCACAATGAGCATCTTTGACATCTGGAGTAGGTCATAACTCAGAGTCCCCTGTATCCCTGGCATCCCAGCACATCCACAAGAAGCCCAGCCTAGCGGGATTAGACAGAGGAGCCTGAAGTGAACCAGGTGCAGCCCAGATGGTAGTATATTGACTCCAGCATCTCCAACAATAGAAAAAGGAAATGACCTGTTTGTGACCTGCCAGCTCCCTCTGCCCGATTGTAAGGGACCTAGTCCTCTCTGGCTATCACTGCTTCCTGGGAATGGTCTGGAACGCATTGACTTGGAGCTTGGCTTGCCTGATCTGATGTTTTCATGTCAGCCTAGAAATCTGTGCAGGTCAAATTCCAGCCTTTCCTCAGTCACCCATGTGACCTCAGGCAGCTCCCAAGCTCACGTCTCTCTGTGGAAAGTGGGAATGGTTAGTAACTACACAGCTCTCATGTGCTCACTGGAGCCATATGAGACATCCGGGGAGACTCAGCCAGATCCTGGATGGTGCCACGTCAGTCTCTAGGGAGGAGGTCACAGCTGCTGAAAGGAGGTCCAGGTCAAAAGGGAAACCTGAGGATGTGCCTGTATGGAAGGAGATGAGCCAAGTCCATGGGCAGACAGGGCCTGCAGAGCAAGGCCATGGCCAGTTACCACAAACCTGCAGAGACAGCGGAACCAGCCACCTGTGCAGCCACAGACCCTCTCAGCTATCACAGGTCACTCAGATAACAGCCAGGGCCTGAAAAGTTGAAACCCAGGACAGGTTAAGGCCAACTTGCGAGACATCAACACCAGGAAAGCCACCAAACCACCCAGGACACAAAGAAAGGTTTGTAAGAGCCTTGGGTCAAACTGGCCGCCAAAGCCAGCGTGGAGCTTAAAGGAGACCCAGCCATGAGATCTGGAAGGCAAGAGAAAGTGGCTGGGTTGGGCAAAAGGCCAGAAAGCTGTCTCGTCTCTGGTTTTGTTTTCCTCCTCCCTCGTCCGTCCGTCCGTCCGTCCGTCCGTCCTTCCTGGCTCCTTCCCCACGGTGCTATCCCTCCCAGTCTGTGGCCGAAGAGGACATTCCATCAGGTCTGATGTCAGAGCTCTCTACCACCACCACCACCCAGCTTCCTGTGTGTGAGCTCTGCCTCCAGGAGAGCTTCCCCCCGCCCCTCCATGGTGTGTCCCCAGATGCAAAGTGTCTTCATTCTGTCACAGAACCTTGGACACCTGAGCTTTCAAGGTCAAAGATGCATCTCTGGTCAGGTAAGACGGCTCGGGAGGGCAAAGGTTCTTCCGACCACACTTGACAACCCAAGTTTGTGTTCCTAGGACTAAGACGGTGGAAGGAGAGAACCAACTCCTGAGAGTTGTCCTCTGACCTGCATACACGTGTGTGAACACACGCGTGCGTATACACACACACACAGTAACAACAACAAAAACATTTTTTTTTTAGATTGTGTCTTAATGACAGGCCTCCAAACTGGTTTATAATAAAGGATCCAGAGGAGCTGGCCCTTACCATTGTCTCTGTGTCACAAGATCCAGTGACTCAGCTGGATCCAGAGGCCCCTGTGTCATCATGTGGTGGCTCTGGGTCCTGGACACCTCATAGAATCCAGCTTTGCTCAGTCTCAGAGGACAAGGCCAAGAAAGAAGAACTGGGCTGGAGTCCTGGGAACGCTGTTCATGCCTCTGCTTATTCCTTGAGTGACTCCAGTCCTCAGGTGTCCCCTGGTGGGGGCAGTAAGATGGGGTCCAGTGGATGGAGTTCTAGAAACCTCTACTTTGCTTCCAAAGCTAACCTCAGGGCTCAGCCCTCTCCAGCTCTGGGACTGGAGTGGTTTCCATGGTTCCCTGGTGTTGGTGGAGCCTCCAGGAAGCACGGGGCCTCAGGGCTGCCTCATTCCTGTGATCCAGGGGCCGAGACCTGCCTGTGACACTAACCACTGAATCAGCAGCCTCAGCAACATTAACAAGCTCCTGGCTGGACTGTGATGTTTGGTAAAGGGATCATTAGCTGCTGGCAAACACCATGTGCTGAGGAAGGGCCCCAGGCTCTGACAAATGATAAATGAGAAAATTAGAGGCTTGGAGGAAATGTAAATATCATCCTTTGTAAGTCTGTCCCTCGGCAGGGAGAGAGAAGATGTTTCCTCAGAGCGCTGAGCCGGTTCTTCTGTTCTCTCCTGCAGCGGGAAGACGCCGCGGCTGTTTAACACGTGTTTAAATATCTTGTTTTGTCTTCTCCCTCCCGGCAATAGGTGGGATTACAGCAGCAGTGTCGGCTTCCCCTAATCCCATGTTTCAACATCCCCTGGAAGGAAGGCGTTTAGACATTTTCTTCTTCCTCATCCCTCCTCGTGACGTTTTAACACCACAGCGATGCTGTACAATCAGAGTGCTCTGCGGTTATCCCTGTGTGTTTTCATAAAGCGGGATCTTGTTAGACCGCACGCCCATCTCTACTCTTCCTCCAGAGCCCACTTTTGCCCACGACTTTCTCATTCACGCATGCATGCAACAGAATGGGGTCTGAGGACGTGGCCGCACAAGGAGGAGGACCTGAGCTTGGATTTCCTGCCCCTACAAAAGAGCTGAGCATGGCCGGGCGATGGAGGGGGGCGGGAGGCAGGGACAGGAGGATCCTTGAGGCTCACTGACAGGCACTCCAGCCACATCAGGGAGCCTCAAGTTCAGTGAAAGAGTCTGTCTCAAAATTAAGGGGAAGAGCCTTTGTGGAAGGCATTCAGTGTTGACCCCCAGCCTCCGTACACTTGTGCACACACATACACTACATACAATACTCATCTGGGACAACTCATCAGAGCACTCATCAGGCGGCCTGATTCCTATAGTTCCATTGTAGGGTTGAGAGACAGTGACAGACCAAAGAATGACTCCAAAGTGCACCCTGTGCAGATGCATGGATGCTGCTGAGGATGAAGATGCAGGGTAGGAGGAGCAATGGATGGATTCGGAGTGTAACCTTGCAGCCCAGAATGGCTTTACAGGAAAGGTAGGAGAAGGTGGGAAGCTGTCTAAGTTGTAGGGTTATGGGGGCAGAGGGATGTAGGCAGATAGAATGGCAGGCCATCATTTTGAGAGGGATGAGGAAAGTTGACTTAGAGACCATCATGGCTGCAGCCCAGGGGTAGAGGATAGGGTGGGCAGATGACACCCGAGAGGGGGTGGATAGGAGGAGCATGTGACAGGTACTCTCAGACCTGTGAAGATTAGGTAGCAGGAGCCTTGGAGACTGAGCAGGGATGGGACATGGTCTGGATTGCTTAAACAGGATAAACTTTCTGAGAACAGGTGGAGTGTGTCCCAAGGGCTGGTCTGGGAGACCTGCAGGGAGACCACAGGCCTGTGTCAGGGGATGGAATGGAGGAAGGGCCTGGTGTGGCCATCCCTGCAGGATTTGCTGAGAAGTGAAGTGTAGAGGGAAGAAAGGCATGGAGGATGCTTCCCAGACTGCTGTCTGGACGCCTGAACAGGAGTGTGCCTGGGCCCAGGAAGGTGGGCAGGATGTGCCCAAACAGTTCTTCTGGCTGAATGTGCAAGGGTGGTCAGTGTGTTCAAGAGACTCTATGGTTCTATGGGCCGTGGCCACCGAATACTTTTTGGATCTGTAGAAATGAAAATGTGTGGGCCACATATGTAGCTAGAGTTTTCCTGCCTTGCCCACAGTCAGGACAAATCTCTGTCACCAGCCAGTCCCACAGCCGCTCAGACCCAACCAAATAAACACAGAGACTTATATTGCTTACAAACTGTATGGCTGTGGCAGGCTTCTTGCTAACTGTTCTTATATCTTAAATTTATCCATTTCCATAAGTCTATACCTTGCCACGTGGCTCGTGGCTTACCGCCATCTTCACATGCTGCTTGTCATGGTGGCGGCTGGCAGTGTCTCCCTTCCTCTCAGCCTTCTACTTCCCAGAATTCTCCTCTCTCCTTGTCCCGCCTATACTTCCTGCCTGGCCACTGGCCAATCAGTGTTTTATTTATACAGAATGATATCCACAGCACACATATCACAAAGCAGGAACAGAATGCCATCAGAGGACTGAAGTGTCTCTCTCGACCTGGCTGCCATGCCTCTTGCTGGTCCTGTTTTGTGGTTGTGCCTCTTCTTCATAGGCCGAACTCACACAGCAGGACAGACCCTCACAGGTCAGGCTCCACGGGGCAGAAGGGCTCTTCTGCTGAGCTGATTCTCCAAGGTGGAGCCTTCTTCACGGCCATGGCTTGGTGTGTCTGGTTAAAACCACAGTGAGGGCTGACAAGGTAGCCCACTGGGTAGAGATGCACGCTGCCTAGACTGACGACCCGAGTTCAATTCCTGGGACTCAGGTGGTAGAAGAAGAGACCTAACTCCCACAGGTTGTCCCCCGACCTCCAGTCACACGCACACGTATGCACACACGTGCACACTCATTAACTACAGTTTTAAAAAGGCCAAGATCACAATGAAAGGTATTAGGACTCTGTGGAGAAACTCCCATCAGGAACAGAGCATCTGCAGGACTCAGCAACTCAGATGGACTGCATGACCCCTGCCCCACCAGCCTCACCTCACCGGGCCGCCCACCCTGTATGGCCTCATCTGCTCTTGGCCCCTCTCCAGCCTGCTTGCCTCTTCCAACTTGGAGACCCACCCCTCCCAGGCCCCAAGCCACCCAAACCAACTCGTCCCTTCCAGACCCCGCTGCCACCTCTGATGGAGCCTCCACTGCAGTCCAGTCTCCTAAACTGATCTTGCTCGCCTCCCCCCGACCTCACCCCTGCTCTGGCCACGCCCCCTCCTTCCTGGTGCATTGCTGCAGTCTTAGCTAAGGTAGAAAGTGTCCGGTGGTTTTCTAGAACTCTCTTTGTCATTCAGCATGTGCTCAGGCAGGAATCCGTGTGCTTCTGCCCCCCTTCCCGGAGGCCCTAGCATCTACAGCCTAATGCACTTGGAGCCACTGGCCTCACTCATCACTCCTCTGAACCTTTTTGAGACCTACTGTGTGCAGAGTGCCAGGCCTAGGCTCTCAGTAACAGACCTGGGAAGCCCTTCCCCTGAGAGGACCCTAGTGAGCTGTACACCAGGACCCAGGGTGAGAGCCTATGGGACCACTCCGGGGCCTACCCCCAACTGCGTAAGTTCCTGAGCAGATTCAAGTTGACTTCGTCACATCTGCCTGCAGGTCGATCTATAGCCTGGTCTATGGGGCTGTGCAGTGAGTTCTCAGGCAACGTTCCTTCAATGGTTAGGGTACCAGCACCTTTGCTGACCCAAGTGAGGAATGACTGACAAATTTAGTGACACTCGCAGCTTCCTCCTGCCCCCGTATCTGCTATGACTATTAATGCACCTGACGTTTTGTTCCGATCAAGGAGCAGAAAATCTCAGTCCCTTTCCTGGGAAATCAACATTGCCCAACCTGAACAGAGTCCACGGCCCTGCCTGTGGGAACTGCAAAGTGCAGAATGGTGAAATCGATATGCACACGCGTGCACCCAGACACCTGTGAAGGCAGTGTGAAGCCCTGAGGGCCATGCCACCCGTGTGTGACATCTATTCAGATGCAATTTTAGATGCGTGTAGATTGCCCAAAAGCCTCTTGAGTCATGGGCCCAGCTGCTGCTCTGACCTGTGGACTGCCCTCTGGACCTCAGGACCTGTTTCTCCCCTCACGCTGCCCACTTCATGCTGCCCACGGCCATGCCTTGACACTTTCTAGTTCAGGCTTTAGCTCCCGCCGCCCCTGCAGGGAACCAGTCCTACCCTCTGCTGAAATCCCAGATGGCTCCCCTGACTGGCCCCTCATCTCTTACCTCCCTTTGGATCGTTCACCCCACAGATGCTCTGTTCCACAGAGACTAAGCTGTGTACCTAGTAGGGGTTTGGTGGGCATTTGTTGAAGGACTCAGTATTTATGTGTCTTGTCTGAGTAACTACACAGCTGGTGAATTACCTAAGAACAGGCCTGTGTAGGGCTCCTACCCAACCAGCAGGGACTGGGCAGGCATGTGGCAGCCTCAGGAAGGGACAAGGGGACTTTGTCAGGTTCGGGTTTCACGGCAGGGTGATGTACTTGTGTAACAAGAACTAATTTCAGGTAAGCCCATTACATGCAATATCTGTTTCACAATGAAGGAACAGAATTTGTCTTTCCCTTGATTGAAACAAAGCAACTTTCAGTCCATTAAAATAGTCACCACAGCAACAGCCACACTGGCCCTCTGCCTACAGTGCTCAGCTCCGAGGTTGCCTAGCCTCCTGCCTCATCTGACCCTCGGGATAACACAGCAAAGCTGTGGGAAGAGTGCCATGATCCCTCCCACTTGGCTGAAGGTGACAGCTAAGTAAGATGACAGCTAAGTGACTTTCCTGCCTTGGGCACCCGTGGGCAGATGGCAGGCAACTATTCATCTGGTCCTTCTCCACCTCCCTACCCAGCAGTCTCTGGGGCTGACACCACCCCCAACCCCAGGATCAGGCTGTGATTGGCCTGTGAGCACACCCCATTCCCCACAGAGAGTGGTTCCCGGTGACTCAAAAGTAAGTGCCCCTGTGTGAGCCGAGTGGGTAGGCTACAGCACCCAGGCGCAGATGCCTCCCTATGCCACTATGGGAGGTGAATGAACCAGGGCTGACCTGAGAGAAGAGGCAGCGACCACAGGGAGCCGACCCAGCCTGATCCCACCGTCCCTGATGCCCTCCTCCTGGAGCCTTCAAAAGGCTGTTTACAGAGCTCTCTGTTCTTTATGGCCATCAGCCACCTGCTTCCGGCTCTGGTGTCACACAATATGACCAGTCGATCACAGCCCAAGTCTCTCAGGTTGTCTCTGTGAATCTGTACCTTCCCAAAGCCAACCTGGCCTTTATGTCTGAGTGTTACAGCGAGACTAAAGACTGCCAAGGTCATTCTGAAGTCATGCTGTCCAGCACCCAAGGTGACCCATAGGACAGGGAAGACCTAAAGAGGCAATAACCTCCATGGTAGGAAGGGAAGCAAGGTTATTCTAATACCAGCTGCTGATGTCCTAAGTTACCAGAACACCAAAGAGATTGCCACGCTAAGACACCCCGACTTCCCATGTTAAAGCAGAGTTCACGTCCCACCTACAGTGAACCTCCACACAGGCACATAAACCAACCTTTGAGAAACCCCCTTACCCCAGCAGCAGAGACGCCTGATTGCTAATCTAACCTGAGTTTCTGGTCACCTAGAGTTACAGCTTTTCTCTGCTGAAGCAGAGGGCTTTGGGGACATTATAATTATTTGGTCCCACCACCTTCAAAGAGAGTTGTCACACACACCCGTCTTGACAGGATCAGGCATGGAGCCGAGCTCATCAACACACATCTGACCATCCCCAGCTGTCCCATCCCCCAGAGTCCTGTTCTGGGTTCTCTCTGTGGTCCTCTCTCCCTACCTCTGAGACAAGGACACATGGGCCCTGATGTCATCGTCCTGGCCCCAAAGCCTGACCAGGAGAGATATAGCCACGGTGGAATTTTGCAGTGTTTTGCCTGTCCAAGGTTGGCTGGCCTGGCTCAGGGTCTCCACACAAGGAGACATTCCGTCTTCAGTGGCACCCGGTAGCCTCCCTTCCCAGGTGACAGCAAACACTTCAGGCCTGTGACGCTCTCGGGCAAAGGTTATGCTGGAACCAAGAAAATAGCTGCAGCGTGAGGCCACCGTAAAGTGCTTTCTGGTTTCCGCTGAGCTATTAGCGGTAAGAGCTCGAGTGATGGACACTTGGCGTTGACTCTTTCCGTAGCCGTGGGGGCAGTGACTGTCTCCACTTCAGCTCCATCAGGACAGGCTAACACAAGGTCAATGTTCGCAGCCCAGAGTTCCTGGAGGGCAATAGATCTCTTAATTAATTTTTCATAATCTTACAACCAAGATTAATTGCTGAGAGAGACATGATGAAAAACACTAAAAAAAATATTGGAAAATCATCCAGGCAGCTGAAATCGCCACAATGCTAGACTGGGGACTTTGGACCTGAAGAGATCTGTGTTTCAAGCCTGGCTTCACCGTGTACCTGCCAGATGGCCCTGGAGAGGGCTCCTCATACCCAAGGACGTTTCCTACCTGACAGTGTCACTAACTGAGGCAATCACTGACTTGCGAGTTCTCTCACCCAGGAAGGGGCAGAACTGAGAGCGAGCTCGCCTAACGAAATCACTGCCCTGAGAGGTCACCACCTAGACCCTCACTCACCTGAGAGCGAGCTGTGCATCAGAGAGAATGGCCACTGGCTACAGCGAGGACTTCAGGCAACCCCCCAGAGCCTCACTTCTGGCTAATGGCTTCTTCATCTCACTTAAAAGATGGTTTCGGGGACCACCCAAGTCCTCCTGAGCAGAGTCTAGAGTTTATCAAGGACCCCATGACTCTGGAGGGTGTCACAGTGGGCAAGTGCCACCATAAGGCATGCAGTGCTGGCCCACAGTTCAGTGTGTGGTGCTTGGTGCTCGCCGGGACTCTTGGCTTGCAGCTGCGGAGGTGGAGCGCCGTTCTCCCTCCCAGCCACTGTGCAGCTTTTCCCTGACTCTCGTGACTCTCGCAGTTTGCATGGGGTTGTCTTTGATGTCCGTGTGGTGCTTCCCAATTGATCAGCCTTTGGCTGTTGGGAAACAGCCCTCCAGGCAGCAGCCTCCACAGAACCTTTTAGAGAAGAGGAAGAGAAAGAGGAGAAAACAGAGAAAAAGATGTATTTTTACCTGTTTCAAAGAACAAAAAGTATAGCTGTCTCCATCTGCAGAAATAGGGGTATGGAGACAACCACCCCAGAAACCAGGGTGATAGATGAGGTGTGAGCACAGCTCCATGGCACCTGTACCCCCCATTCAGCTCAGAAAGATCGTCACCAAAGGCTTCACCTGCTGAGGACCCAGGAGCAGATACAAGCTGGGACAGATGAGCTCCTGGGTGGTAAAAACAGCGCCATTAGTGCTCAAGGCCCCACTCATTATTGGGGCCACCGTCCCCTGGCTTGTGCTGTGTCTCATGCTGATGAATTAAGAGGAGGGCCCCTTGCAGGCAGCCCTGGTAAGCTACCCTCAGAGCGGCAGCCCTCCTTGTCTCCATAGCCTATGCAGAAAGCCAGGGTCAGGGTATCCAATTTTAGGGTCCCTTACCCTTCACTCTCCCTAGTCAGCAATGACAAGCCAGCTCCTCCACCAAATCCAGATGTGACGCTAATCTCCACACAGGGCGGGCTACTGCGTCCAAGTACTCCATAACAGAACCTCTCTCTCCAGAGCTACTGTCAGGATGGTCCAGAGCATGACCTGACCCCAGAGAGCACCATGATGGAGCCAAAGGGAACCCGCTCTGCCCTTCCACCGGCATTTACTGACTGGCTGGTCCATGCTGTCCATTGCAGGAGGCTTCGTGTGGTAGAGGAGGGAGGGGGACCGTGTCTTCCTTTCAGGGCTCTGCCTTCTTACAGGTCCCAGTCTTGGTGAAAGGACCACAGACTCAGGCTGAGGATTCCAACGCTCCATCCAGTCCCTCAGCACACACAGTCATCTCGATCGCTGTCCAAGGCCATGAACCACGTCCTTCCCAGGCAGCTCCATTCATTGCTAGAGCACTTTCAAAGTTCTTATGCTGACAAGACACGCATGTGCCTAGACCAAGCAGGCTGGCCTGGAGGGAATGGGGGGCGGGGAGGGTCCTCAGGGCCTGCTAGGGAACAGGAAGGAGACCCAGCTCTTCCATTTCCAGCTGTGGTTTTCTTCCAGTAAATCCCTCTGAGAGCGAACAGCCTCACAAGGTCCAGACTCCTGTTTCACCCAGTAGGCAGCTCCACTGGGGCCACTGGGGCTCAGTGACATGTTTACATGGAGTTGTGAGGCCAGGGGAAAAGGTGGGGAGTCAAAGAACC